GTGGATACTACGATTGCAATTTCGATCGGCGAACTGTAATTTTCTATGACATACGCTGCCTGTAATACTTGTGTAAAGTTATACGGCCCACACGCTTATCATTTTTATTGGCATCCGATGTTATAGCAGCGCCGGCAGAATCGCGATAAAAATGGTGAAAAATAAAAGTCGTCGCTATAAACGAGAAACGACTGCGTGGTTGAGAAGGTTTTGGTTATTTTCGCACATAAATGGCATAATTCACCGACCGATTCGACACGTTACCCTGAAACCATCGACATTCCTGAAAGCTCACGGATCCGGATTACATTAACATCCCTTCGTCGGAACGACGACGTCGTAACGCTTTCCCGTCGACCGGCGAAACTTTATAAATTACTTTAGTTTTCATTGTAACAACAGGAATGCAAGACGGGAATAGCAATAATGTACCATCCAACTTTAATATATTTCGGAACTTCACGCAAGAATGAATAGCAACGTCGGGAGATTCAGGTACATCGCTCGATCGATCCTAGGGGTTCGACTTCGTGCCGAACGAAGTGCATCGATCGCACAATGTGCATGCCCGGTGGTGCAATTGGTATGCGAGAATCCGACTGTGAAGTATACGCGGCGCAACGCAAAGTGTACCTCATATATCACGCGCCGTTGCTTATTAACCCGATGGCGCTCTGTGATGTAGATCTTTTCGTGTTTTTGCTTTGAATCGCGAGCGGTGCGCGCGGGAATACGGTGATTGAAAAATCGAGATTTGTGTATGAGAGAAAGAGATCTGTGCTTATTGAGAAGGGAGCGCGCGCGCGCGCACACAGCATTTCCGCTCTTGATTACGGATTGTCGGATGAATTCGTAGCCTGTCTGCTTCCACGCAAGACAAAGTTCCAAACTCATCAGAGAATCTGTAAGCGGCAGAAATTGCGCGGTCGTGACGCGCCCCTGTATCGCAGTGATTTTGAAACTTTGCTCTCGTGATTTAGAGGAGTGATTGAGAGAAGATAGTACTACGACAAAAAGTATAATAGTGATCTTTGTAGCCGCGCATTCGTAGAGAATTTCAACGAGTTTTTCGTGTAGTCATGTATTTCAAGCGTGTGTGTAGTGTACATGGTTACAGAACTGATTGATGGTTCATTATCGAGATTGTGATGAAGATTCGTTAAAAGGGTTTCTAAAGGTATCAGTATCGTGTCACCTGTGATGGCGATCTTGCAGGACCACTTGCTGGTACCCTCAAGGACGATCTGTTCGGCCTGCTCGAGGCTGTCTATGTGCGTATCCGGGTCGACTGAAAACGTCGTGCTGAAAAGAAGACAATGTCGTCGTCATCGGTTAGTCTTTCGACAACCTCTCGTACCCTTCTCTTATTGTCAATCCACACTCTTTTAGAGGAAGAGAATCGAGGAAGAGAATCCTCTCGAGACAGCGGCTTCGAGGCAACCAGAAAGTGTACGTCTTACGGAGGTCACTGAAAGACGCGGGATCGTCGCGAGGCGGAAAATCGTCCAAAATCATCCAACGTCATTCAGCAGCAGCGATGGCAGTATATTCAGCAGCTCAGCTATGCTAGCAAGATTACATTCGCGCAGCCAGAGTATTTTTCCGGGATTAGCCTGTGTATACCGCGGCACTTTTGTATGTGTGTCCCGTGTGAAAGCAAAGCGAGATATATGTTTCACATCCGCGCCTCATTACAAGATGGATTAGCTCTGTTCGCTAGTCAAAGTTTTATCCCTGTGGATTCTTTGTGCCTGTGGATTCTTTGTGCCCTTTGCCAATTTTGCTCGAGTCGAGCATATGGAATTTAACGGATGAATATGGATAGTGGGTGTCAATCGGAAAGGCGGATCTACTTGAATCCCGAATTATAACTCGACCGGAAGCAACGCGATTGATTTTATTTGCATAAAAACGGAACGATGAGATTGACGCCTAGGTGTGGCGAAATAATAAATGGCTTCGAAGTCGAAGAGAATGAGAGTCGTATCGAACACGACGCGTTTCGTACGGTAGAATGCCGTACGAAGTTCCATCGAAGTTTCATACCAAGTACATGGAAGTACATATGTACAAGAAGACCAATCGATCACGCGTCTTGCTGTAGCCAAGCGCATTGCCACCTGTTAATCTCGAACGTTGTAGAATTAGCGCTGTTTTATGCAGGAAGCCGTTCTGTAAAGGCACGTCCATCAGCATGAAATAAGAAAACTTGTTGCTCGACTTGCATGGCCCATCGCCAACACGAGATCTTCCATTGATCTTCTCAGTTATGGTAATCGTTTCACGAAGACGATCAACGATAGGAACAGCTTTTTAAACGATCAATTACTTGATTAAGTTTTTACTTGTCTATTAACTCAGGAAAATCTAATTTTCCTTTTCTTCATCGAGCAAGAATTATAGGTACCCGTTATTCGTGATCGAAAGTTTAACATGTACATCGAGTTAAAAATTGTTTTTAAATTATAAAAATTGGAATCTGCACTTGGATTTTATAAATGATTCAGAGAAGCCTGAGATAACTTAATTTTCTTGAGAGTAAATGTTTTACTGAAAGGAAGAAAGAATGATGAACCGAAATTTTAAATTACGACCATCGATCAACGCTGTTGAATTATTCTCGGTAAAAAATATTAAATATTATATATCAAGAGACACGGTAGTGTAGCGAGCCAAGTATTGTGAGAACGATATGCTTTATATTTTACCATCCCTGCCGACATGACAAGACAACGATTTGGAGAAGAAAGGTTTCATCTTCCTTTTGAACCGGAACCACAATGGTCTCGGAGGCGCGTCATCACGCGAAATGAAGACAGCGAATACAAAGAATATGGACTGTACGCGTGAAATATTTCGGTCACAGGGTGCTTTTTCCTCGACATCACGTATTTTTTCCGCACGTGTTTTCCAGCGGCACATCTCGTATGGAAATAATCCGTGGGAGAGAAATCGATACGCGCTACGCGTGTCGTTGCGGTTTGTTTACGAGAAGTGAATAAACGATGCAGACTAACTTAAGTGTTTCTTCAATAGGGGCTTAACTTCATAAAACTACTTTCAAACAAAGATAAATATTTTACGTGACATATTGTCTTATGATCCCTCCTGCATGTCTGACAAACTTTATTGTCTATAAATTTCATAATAATAATAATTTATTTCTCGAGATAAAGCGTACGAGAGATGAAAGACGAAAAAACATTTATCTGTCCTTCAACACGAATGTTTTTGTAATAAATTGCATTAAACGGAAACTATCGAGCTAATCCGACATCTATCGAGACGAGTTCATTTTCCTTATCTTCGACACGCGCGAGACCTATTTCTGCTACACGTTCGAACGAGGAGTTAAGCTGACACGTGCGATCGAAGCGATGATCGATGTCCGTGACGTCTGACTCTCATCTCGCAGCGAAACGCAACTGGAAAGAGAACATGCCCTGGATATACCGAAGATTACAGGTGGTCTGTAGATTGCTTTCGATAAACGTCGCTGTGGTATTGGCCTATCGGTCAGGGACTCACGATCATGGAAGCTCGATGGCTATAGGCCGAGTTTGCCTTAGACAATAGCAACGGCACATACTTGCAGCCACAACAAGTTGCCACGTGACCTTAATGGACTTTCGATTGAATTCTCTTGGAGGAGAGGAGCATTGCGTGATGCCTGACCAGTGCGATCGCATGACGCGACACACGGGGAGTATGTACTACGTACAAGTACATACATAGACTATGGAAACTCATACATCTTCATATCGATGCATAAACAGAGAGACACACGAATGGGATTTCGAATCAGAAGCGTGTATCTGGTGATTTTCACTAACGAAAAATAACGAGCGGTTCGAGATGCGTTTCAAGGATCTCCGGAAATAAGTACTTCACCGAACGATGGTAATTGGGGTGTTGTTTCTAGAGGAATTCGCTCGGGCCGACTACGAGAGATTTCATTTCGCCGATGGAATACGAAACTGAACTCCACTCGTTCTCTGGAAAAGAGGCTATTGTAAATAGCGCGTTGAGCGCGCGAACGAGGAGAGAACTGTCTGCAAATTCGATTTCATGGATCTCGTTGAAGCGGACTGGTTGCCACGGCGGCAGCTGGGATTGGTGTGAAATTGGAGCAAAGGGAAGTACCCGTTGGGGGCAAAAAAAAAAGGGAAAACACTGATAGGAAGTACACGAATACCGAGTAATGCCCAATTAAACGGTGTTATACACTAACGGACAGCACGCGGTATTATCACATTCAGCGGACAAATGTAAGATCATAAAAACGCCAGCACATACACGTAAAACAGCAGCATAGCAGACACGCGCACACGTACAGTAATCTGCATTGGTCGGGTGGGAATAGTTACGAGGGTATGTAAGTCAAGGTGTTTCTCAGGAGGGAATGGAAATAGCTCGTCCATTGTGAGAGTATGCTCGTAACGAAGTTGGATATAAAATACACTCAGCTTATGAAGAAGTTAAAGAAAAAGGAAGAATTACAGATAAAGAATTAAGTTTTAGATTGCAATTTGTAGTTCGAAAGTGAGATCGTTCCCTTTAAATGAACCATATTATCGCACGATGGACGTCGAACGGGATTACATACAGGAATTACATAAAATGGTATTTGTTACTCAATATCGATACATTCATGGCACAATCAATACAATACAGCCACACGCGCGGCAGCCACCAAGAGCCAGTTATTAATATGCCATTACCAGATCTAAGTGTAATGGCAATAATAATAACAATAATAATAATAAAAGGAAGAAGTAATCAAAGTAATCTTGTGCGTACACGCATTATGTATAGGCATAATATATGGAGATAACGATGGCTCGCACTGTATATACAGATCAAAAATATATAGGCATACGCAGCACATATATGTATCATGTATCGGGACGAACACCATACTGATGACACGCTCGTCGCGTGGGATACGGAGAGTGCACAAGACCAGTTTAGGAATCGTCGAGCACGAGCTGGCCACAAACCTGTAATAGCGATCTTCGCCGACCATTTGCTGGTACCGTCCAAAACCGACTGCTCCACCGCCATCATGTGACCCAAGTGCGCCTTTTCGTCGACCCCGAAGACTGACCTAAACTCCGACGAGACTCTCTTTCACATAAGCTGTGTCAACGGCCACGATCTCGTCTGTTTCTCTCGTTATGAAATATATCATTGTTTCGAGATTATCTTTATTTAAAGTAGTTCTTTTACCGCGAATTCTCAAGGAAAGATTATCTCATTTCGCGAAATATTATCAGTCTGTAGGAAATAGGAACAAAAAGAAAAGAACAAATATTTTCGATAACATGAATGAAATTTCAACCTACACATGAATGCAGTCATCCTTTTCCAGTTCGGAAAACTATGCTCGCTTTTACGCTTTTTAGTCAGCATTCCGTGAAACAGAACACGTTACAGAATTATTATTAGTAGCAAATTACTACGTGATTACTTGAGAATTCTCTTTGTAGGATCAACTGCAGTTTGCTCAGACGGCTCTGTTTCCCGCTAAATTTTTCCGATATTCCGAATAAAAGAAAAACAACAGTAATCGAGCGTTTTGGTAGTGGAAATTTTTAATACGCATGCCGAACAAAACAGTTTTCTAATTAAAACAACTGCTCATCGATCAACTCGCTAACGAAAACGATGAATTACTCGTTCGTGATTATATCCCTCAGAGAAGACGAGATCGGGCCTGTGACGGTGAAAATTCCATTTTAATTTTGTTAATTCTTCCTTACGATTTTCTTTGCCCATCACTGTCGCCACTGCATCGCCATATTGGTCTACGCGTTTCATTTAATTATGGATTAATTCTAAGTCTATTGCCGCTGGGTACAAGCAGTTTTAATTGACAACTAATTATTATCCGCGTCTAGGATATTAAATTAATTTTCAGTAATACATATAGCCGTTGCGGGCATGACATCCTGCGTTTCAGTATTTCTTGCGGAAGCGACCAGACCTAGTGCTTTTCCTGGCACGTAACGATCGCTGCAGCTGTTCCGCACTAATTTCGCTCGTGCTAATTATCGTGATAAGTTAAATTACTAATGCTTACTAATGCTCGACCGAAAAAGAAAAATATCTGTTAGTATTAATGAGTATTGATTAATTCGCGTTTACTAATATGTTTATAATATTTGCTACGTTTATCATCATGTTTACGTTTAGTTGATTAAAAATAGTTCGAAAACATGATATTGTCTCCTAAAACAACTATTTGACAGTTAATTATGAATTATATGAATGTAATTTGAGATTACATATCTAAAAAAGATTCTATAATATGCTAATTACATGACTAATTGTACAAATATTGACCGATTTATTGGTCGATACATCGGATTTATATGGGTCTCTTGAAATGCAGATCATGCAAGCGATATTAATTAACGTTGATTTTTATTAGCCAACTGTCTACCGAGCTGGCTTTTACGAAACCGTACTCTATGTCGCGTCGTCGATATTTATAATAGTCGTGATAACAAGCCAATACTCGGTAATAAGATTGAAATGCGGCGCGGGTAACGGAGATATCTCGAATAGCTCGACGCTTAATTAATTATGGCAGATATGCGACGGATTGACGCAAGGTGCGCAAATGCGATTAGACGGTTATTGTGATGATGCTGACGTATCTAAGCCGCGTGCGTTATCCATTTATCATTTACCACAAATAGGTCGGTTTTGGTATTTGAAAACAATTGCTCGACGTATGGCCTCGTTATATTTTCGCCTGAACAAAACAAAATTTATTTAAATAAATATATTTAATATTTAATCAGCAATATTATCGGGTTGTAGTTAAATTTCAAATAACATTCAAAAATTTTTGTTTCGCGATCTCCCAGACAGTATAATTCAGAATTTGAACTAGAATAATAACATGAATGTATGCATGTTGTAGTTTATGTCGGTGCCGATTATATTGATTGGACAATATTAATTTGTGAGATTATTTAATTCTGACAGCTTATTTGATTGCGTAACAATAACACATTTATTGAATGAAGCGGGTTTTGCCTTCCCGTTAAATCGATAATATTGCGGAAATTATTATAACTGAATGCTGAAATGTGAATTATTATACTAAAATCGTTGCGCAATGTTACTTAATTTTCCTTTGTCACTTTTGCTTCTGTCTCTCAATTTATATAACACATGTACAAATTACTAATATATGTAAATATAATTTACAAATTATCTACAAATGAGTGTTTTTTTGGCAATTTTATAGAAAAACTATCGATTATATATCTGTTGTAAGTTTTGAATAGAAAGACCATCAATAGTATGTCTATGCAGTAACGAAATACCCAGCGCGATGTAAAATTACACAAATTCTCCAAGATAACACGAAGATAACTTCAAAGTCTGAAACGCGAATCGTGTTTGCCGCGTTTATTGTAAGACATTACTCACGAACATTCACACAATACGCTATTCTTGAGGGGGTGTAGTGACGCATTAATATTCGTCCAAACGATGTTTATATTCTTTAATGGTTTCCTATGTTTGAGTTTGTGAAATACAATAGATCTGGTTCGCTATGGCGATTTATCCATGAGACCATTTACAATCCGCAAAGCGGAAACCGAGTCTCGGGTAAAACGGAAAAAGAGATTCAAACGGGTTGTTACGGCAACTAATTAATTTACGGCTTTTTATCCACAGTTAAAAGAAAAAGCACGCCGTTGCAGCAATCACAGGCGACATTGAATTATTTTCTTTATGAGATTTCTATACAATGCGCAACGAACGCGCCATTGAGGCTGATGGCGGATCTGCTGATTCAAAAATAGCGAGCAGTGGTGACAGACGAAAAATCGTTAAATCGCATCGATACATCGATCGACGCTATTTCTCTTCGAACGGAAATGTTATTGATTTATAGTACGATTGTCGTTGGATTTACTTCTGCTGCGAGGAAAAGAAGAAAAGAAAAAGAAGCAAGCGCGCAGTAAGTGGATACTCACCGAATAAGTTCAAAGATTTCCGGTTTCTCTTGTTCCCTTTGCTTCATTCTCTCCTTCATCGCCGTGATAATGGTATTCGCCTTATCCTCAGCGCCGTGCTTTGAGCTCTTTTCAGCCGCCCCTATGAAATGGATGAAATAATGAAATAATATATATTTTCATGTATGTTGTCAGCATATTACATATATAAGAATAGCCAGGAGCATTAATATACATTTGAGATCACGCCTAATTATTAAAAATTTTTAATTGATCCAAAGCTTATGACATATTCTTTGATTGTTGAGACTTTTACAACATCAAATCTGTGAATTTGATGGTGACATCTGACAATCAGGGGAGTTTTATTAATTTATGTATACTGAGAGAAAAATATCTTAATTTCAAAGAAATATTTCTTATTGATTCAAAGTAATAATTTGTTTGAACGAGCAAAGAAATATTTCTTTGAAATTAAGATATTTATTTTTCAGTGTATTAACTGAGGAGGATTCCAAAGAGTGTCAAAATGTTCTATTTTTGGACGTATGGATTAAAGGAGTAAACAGGAATTTTACTTGATTACTTTGCGTACCAATTACCACGCTGTACTCTTATTCGCCCTGTCAAACGTCATTGATTTTTTGAATCCTGAGAGTCCGTAACAAGATTACATTTTGAATTAATTATCAAGCATGTATATATTCGAGATTTGCATATGGTTATTTAGTTGGGTCATTAAAGATGATTATTGAAATTTTTATGGTCGCATCCGATTGATTCACACATTAATTCTCAATCTTCTCAATGTCGCTCCTGTGTCGATAAAACGCTTTTATCTCCAGTAAAAAAAAAAGATTAGAGAAGCGTGTTTTACACGCAAAGAAGATTTATTACGCAATTCTCGACGCAGATACCGCACTGTTTTTCAATGCATCAAGTGATAAAACGTTCACAAAAAATATGCGATTTTTTCCGAGGTAGAATTTTACATTGTGAAAATCATGATTCGTATCATGGGCAGTGATTGAGTAATACCAGTTTTTATACTTTACAGTGTCATCTAAATACTATGCTAATAATACTATTGGCATATAGGTCGGTATTGCGTTTCGCAAAATTATATATAAATTGGAAAATATGGCATATCGCGTATAGATCGTGATAGATGATCATGTATTCTGCGCGTTACACAATAGACGTGTCAATTTTGATTATATATAATCGGACATGAGACACGTTAGATGCAAGAACGATATCGTTGTAGCGAAACATTTCGTATGCAATCTAATACACGGTGTCAGACACGTTTCGAATTTTACAAGGTATGCATCGAAACAACTTTCCTGAGCTATCGATATTGGCTATTTTAATTATTACCGGAAATCTTGTTGTACAACCATATAGGGATATAGAGAAGGAAATGGAAATCTGAAAGGATAAGCGATAGGAAGGGACTTAATACGAAACACCCGGTACATTGAAATTACAACGAATAGCGGTGGATGAGGGAGAATTAATTGAGAACGGAATTACGGGGCAAACTGTCGTGCGGCGAGTCGGAGGCGGAGAGACTGTAAATTAATCGTGGACTGTCCGATCAAGGAAAGAAACTTTATCGAGGACAGAGTCAGAGCAGAGGGGAAGAGGTTGGGAATCATTAGTCTGGGAGTGCTAGCACGAATCGATAGCGAATGGTATCCAGACGAAAAGGACACCTATAGAGATCGCGAAGATCACCGGAATCAAATTGAAAGTCTGATAGACGGGCCGACGTTAAAAGTGTCATTACTTCCCGATTTCCGGACATTGGAGATTGGTTTATAAAATCTGTCATGTCATTGAGGATATTTTTATCAAGCCAAAATGCGAAATGGCCTCGTGAACGTATTGCGCCTACGTAAAATTGATTTTTCCGCGAGACATTCAATCCGTGAAATTCAATTGCGCGATTTAACAATCGCTCGTTTATCAATAATCTTTCGATTATTCGATTATTCCGTTACGAATCGATTTTGTATGGAACACGAGAGTAATATCCGTTTATTAACAAGACACCGGCCGACGATGGAAATAGCACTGCATTTGCAAGAAGCAACGGATGGAGGTCTTATAGGGCAAATTAATAATTAATTCGCGTAAATGTAGCGAGAGCAAAGACAGAAAATAGTAATTTAGATGTATATCTGTTCAGAATTATCAGTTACACTTTGTTTAATTGCGAAACTTTTCTCGTTTCATTTAATTCTTATTGTCCCGTCGAGGGACAATTGATTTTATTACTGCCCAGTTAATAAATAATTTCAAGGTTTTTAATTACGTGCCTAAAAAAGGAAAAGTTACGTGACCTCGGGGCCGACATACATTTATACAATAGCTTCAAATTCATTAATGTATGAAAATATATTTATAAATTTTGTAAAACCTGTTAATTAATGATATGATTAAAAAAAATTACCTAAATTTTAATAAATATTTGTTTAAATAATACTACTAAAAGTTTACTTACAACAAATAAATATTTACCAATAAAAAGAAATGATACTTAAATTAATAGTTCTTGTATCAAATAAATATATTATAGATTTACATTTAGTAAATATTTAGTTATTAGAATAGTACTATTCAAACAAATATTTATTGAAATTTAGTAAATTCTTTTCAGTGAGTTAACTGAAATAAAATTAATACATATCCTTTGCGATAAATATATTTCATAGGCACGGAAATGGCGCTGGAAAATCAAAATATAGCTTGACGTTACTCACTCTGCAAACAATCGGCGTTCAAAAGGTCTTTGCACTTTTCGTGACACTTGACACCGCACTCCATACATCGCACTCCTTGTCGAGCGATGCCCCAGAGAAGACCCTCGCACTCGTAGCAGTACGTCGGCGACGTGGCCGTCCAGGTGACAAAATTGTGAGGAGTGGTTGATGATATAGGATAGATCATCGCTTGTAGAGTTTTCTTGTACACGTGCATCTTCTGTGGGTGTTTCATTATGCGATTGCATCGCCGTTATATTAAGAAAGAAGAAAGTAAAGGTAAAAAGGCGGTTTATACAAACATTTGTTGTTCTACTTCGGTTCGTCGCTCGTAACAGTTATGACTTTTAAGAGATTTAAATGGTTCGAACATTATCGTGAATTACTAATCCTTTAGTAGTCGTTGCCTTCTAACATGTCAAAATTTCCAATATTATACGAAAAGAATTATTTTGCTAAAAAGTTAGGTAGATACAGGTCTAAAAATAATTTTGTTAGACCATCAAAATAATTATGTAGGATGCACAAGCTAATTGAATGCCAAAACTTTGCAGCATTTCCCATTATGCTCAAGTGACCTACATAATTATTTTGCTAATTCAACAAAATTATTTTAATATTAATTAAAATAGTTTAATTATTTAAGTTTGAAATTATTGTATTCAAATTTGTATTTAGCTAAAAATTTTTAGATATATTTTAGAAAAATCATTCTTTTTATCCAAGAGACGAAATGTATTTTACGCATCGTTTATTAAATTTCAGATATTATTTTATGAACATTCTTTATCGCAAACAGAAAAGAAGTACTTTGAAATCCCGACGTTTACAGCAAATGATGAAGTGACCGATGAATTTCCATTAACGTAATATAAAATTCTATTAACCACGTATGAACAATCGATCGAGCAATTGTGTAATAAAATTGTATCAGATATTATATTATTGGCTATTTTTGATTGAAAAAATGAAACAGATTTATCACATTATCTTTTAAGAAAGCAACTCTTTTAATTTATTACTTGTGCTTCGCGTTAATCTTATCGATCTTTCAAAGTACATTTCCTTCAATGTAAAATTTGCGTTTCAAATTATAAATGGAATACCGAAGCATTTTGATTTTGTCCATTCCGATCTTTCTCGCAAAAAATCTATCATGGATTCAGTTATTAATTGAAGTGCCTTTGTGGATTCTAGTTACATAATCATGTGCACGCGAACCATATGCAGACATATGTAGGTCTCACAAAGGAAAGCCTGCTATGATTCCAATAAAAGCGAATTGGATACACTAGAGACTGTTTTAGGTTCCTACTTGCTCGTGACTCTCGAAAACAAAATGACTCTCATTATTCGGTTTTAGATTTTCAAGAACATCTCTTCTATATCGGTTTTCTTTCTCTTCTGGATATCTTTTTTTCATGCTTGTGAGATAGGATTACCTAGGAGAGTTTTACGAGCGTACGCGAGCTCCTCGATCCTAGGGAGATCATCACATTTCATATTGGACATCTAGAATTTTCGCGCTCCACCTCGTTTTGCGATTTTTAAAAAAATATCTTTTTTCTTGAAAAACAGTACCTGTAGTACGTGAAGAAGTTTTAGAGCAAGTGGTATTTTCTATATATATCGTTAGACTTTTCTGGAGATATCTTTAGACTACCTAGCGAAAGGACGAAGGTGTAAAAGCATCGATCCGCTAAGTACTATGGTACTAACGTGTGAACTCGAGATGTTCCTCGGTGCATGAATTTTTCAAAATCCGTATATTTTCATTCCAACGTAAGAATGTATATAAGCGACTGGTTGAGTTACCTTTCAATACATTACCTCGATATTCTACAGAGATGATCGGAAATGTCGAAAGAATTTTTCCAGTCGAATATTTTAGCGTTGTTAGCAAGAGCACTCTGCGGATCTAAATCTTACGTCTAAAGCTAACAAACTGTGCAATACAAATTTCAACTCGTATTAACTTATTACATTCGTAACGTTTCTCAAGGTGCTTTAGTAAATCACATATCTGAGAAAGGCATCGAATATCTCGTCATCGAATATTGCACGTGTGTGTCAAAGCGACCTGGAAAGGACACCCAGGTATTCGATACACGAGGAACATCCAACGTCATGGAAATCGGAAACTCCTAGCACTAGCCTATAGCTATTTCTCTCTGATACGGTATCCCACGTCGTGATTCTATCCTTATATAGACTATGTAGATTCATCTAGGAACATACTTATATACATATATATATATATATATGATTCGACCGCTATTTTCTCACCTAATGCATATATATGCATATATTTCTTCAGTAAATACGCGATGCGTATCACGGTATCCTAATGTGTTTTATACTAAGTCGCTACGTGTTGCTTCAGAATAATACAGCAATACAATAAGGAGAGAGGTAAATAGAAATAAGGAGATTCAAAACTGAAACTGGTTAGAATACTCTTACGTGAAAGAAAATAGCGTGGAAATGAGGATAAAATGCAGCACGTTTCGTATGAAAACAAAAGAGAATCCAGTGGTTAAATTAAGCTTTTTGGGCGCCGGTCTCTTACCAGTATTGAAACTTAAAATTAAATGATGTACGATCTAATTTCTCTCTGACATCCGTTTCCCTATTTCTTCTGATATTACTTCTCGCTTATATTATCTCTGTTTCGTAACTAGAAGGTAAACGTCCTTTCGCTTTTAAAACTTTTCCCTCATCCCTCATTCATTGTGGGTTTCCGAATGAAGTACATCACGTAGAAAGAAAGTAATTAAGCTTCGCTGTGTGATTTATGTGGCATTAATTAATACAGTAAATTGCATCGTCCACGCAATGGTAACTTTAAAAAATGCCATTAAAAAAGAACTTAGTCGTTGTAAAGATTACTTAAACATCAGCGAGATGACGCGATGATAGCCAACCCTCCTCTTAGGGTAAGCATATTTCTCTTAGTTTATTAACTGGTGACATAAAGTGGTAAGGGTGAAATATAGTGACTAAAGGGTAATTCCTTACCAGCTCCTCGTCGTTCAGCGTCGCTCGAGGTACGGCAGATGTGAGACCAGCGTTCCTCTTCGTCGCTGCCATGGTCTGAGAAAAGATAGGAATTAATGTACATCTGATAATGAAATAATATCTGATACCTTCCAGTCTCTCTATCGCATAGTAAATGATAGTTCTGGGACTGAGAAACTGTAAGGAAGAAAGAAAAAGAGAAAGAGATAGAGAAAGAAGAGAGTGAGAAAAAATCAAAGAAAAGCACAAAATTGATCAAATAAATCGAGAGACGTGAAGAAACGTATGTAAACGAATATGAAAACACGGAGAAGTCTGAAAAATGTTATTTACAGATATTTATCGACATCGAGATCGAAACTGTTTACGAGTTAAAATAAAGGTAAGTGACACCGATTTTTCAAATAACTGAGAATTACTCAAAAGTGACAAGTGATAATATACATATTTTGGAATTCTTAATGTTAATCAAACGTGAGTATATACATTTCCAAAGAAACAACTTCACATCGAGATTAAACTGCATCTGTCGTAATAATATAAAAACTTGCGAGATAGAAATAAATTCAAAGCCGAAGGGAAATCTTGTGACGTAAAAATCTTGTGATGTATAAGCGATGATATTACATGCCAAGTGAAATATTGACAAAGTTACTTTTATTTACAAGTTTTATGAAGCGAGTATAAGTGTGAGTTATATATAATATATATACACATCGAACGCTTGTTAGAAATGTTTCACAAATGTTACAGAAAATGCTATTCTATATTCTATATTTAATCTTAGCAGTCTTATGTAATCGTGAACTTTGACATTTTTACATATCACGTCCAACACACACATTTCGGAAATACAATTCGCAAATTTAACGAATATTTACTGAGCGTTTGAACATACTTTATAACGAATGTCGGAGCAGGTGCAGAATATTTATTCGTGCAAACGTTGCGGATTAATATAATATCTGTCCGATTATCTTTGCGCATAGTCGCGTGCATAGAGAAAATTAACGTAGTGGTTAATAAACAAGGTTGCAAATATTAAGACCGGCAGTGAGATCAAATTCAATAATGTCTGGATTATATGCTATCTGGATTATATGTACGTCGAGAACCATAGCGGAAATTGTACTAGAGGCTAATCAAAGGCTGGACCCTGCTTAATAAGACCGAGTACTGTTTGTAGCGGTGTAGATTTGCATGTGCGATTGGGAACGCATATATATGAATCTAATATTGAAATTAGAAGAACGAAGAGAGCGATAGTAAGAGAAGACAGTGAAAAGCAAGAACCAAGAAGCGAATGGAGCGGAAACGTCAGGAGATATGTAAATCAGATAGAATAACGATGGTAGAGAAGAGTGAGTGAGAGTAAGTGAGAGAGAGAGAGAGAGAGAGAGAGAGAGAGAGAGAGAGAAAGACAAAGAGTGAAAGAGATAGAACTTAGGTGAATCTCTACGGAAAGAAAATCTAATCTAATTAGCTTATGGGTGTTTTGGTATGGTGCGCGATAGAATTTGTGGTTAGCATAGATTTTAATTAAGATATTATACACGGATCCCCACGAACCGTGCATGCGCTATTGTTTGAGTCCAACGATCAAGCGCTTACTCTGTACATGCTAATATCATTTTTATCGGCTATAACCCACGTATGCCGTTGCGACGTTGTTTTTCTAATGCGTCCTCTGATCAGACGAGGGATACTGTGACGCAGCACGGGAAGAGGGGCACCAAGGCAATTTAATTCTGTCTCTTGTGAGAATCTCGCGCAATATCATTTTTCTTAACGATGTTATCGAGTCATCTCCTTCGCTTCGTTTTTCCCGTTTCTTTTCGTCAAAAGATAGAAGCGAAGGAGTCAGATGAGAGAAACGGAAAGAGTATTAGCGAATCCAAGAAAGCTTCCATTAAAACACATTGCCTTCAAAATTTTCTTTGATCAAAACATCTACTTACGACTCGTATATTTTTATAACTTCTCTTAACACATGTTATTATATCTACAACTACCAAGACGTTCATGCAATATCGATGCTGGAACAGTGAACGATTCTGCATGCAGGTGAGGGACATTATCGTTACAAGGTAGAACAAAATCTGATGGGATTATCATTTTTATCGACAGCTTGGAAACTACTGGATGAGCACATTGATCAAGTTTGAATGCACGCGAAATAGATAATTATTTTAGAAAAATTCTTTCGGATCGTTAAATCCGTTTCTGCATAATTTTAATTGATTTCCTAATCGAAGTAACCGTAAAAACATTCGCATGCGGAACACAAAGTTACAAGTAAGCCATCAAAAAAAGTATATATAACTGCGTTTCGTTGAAATGCATCTCTTGTCTCTTCGACTATAAGTATGAATCGCGTTCAATTTAACGAGTCGCTAGAGATTTGATGTGTTATTTTCTCACATTCGATATTTCATACACGGGAGATAGAAATTGCATGTTCCGCAGATAACAAAATTACTTCGGTATCTATTTCCTAACGAGTAGATACACATGTAACAGTCATATTAAATTAGAGATGTAATCAAGAAGTTTCTACACCGCTGACTCTATTCCATCGAGAAGAGCGCAACTTTCAACGAGGGAAGCATATAACACATCCCCTTATAACAATCAGCAGAAAAAAACATAACGAATTAGAAATAAACCAATCGAGAGCAAATAACTAAGAGTGAAATGTAAATCGCATAGAACAAACGAAAGAATGTAAATAAAAAAAAAGCTAACAGCATATAGACAGTGAGAATAAGAATTAAAAAATCCACATGCAAACGTTCGAATAAGCTTTTAATGACTTGGCTAAGGAGGCATTTAATTAGTACCTTCAAGACCTGGAGGTAGAGTTTTTGAGATTTTTTGAGAGGTTTTTTTCAGTGAGTGGTTTTGTTTTTTTCAGGTGTTCAGGTGGATACAACAACGGGCGCCACAGAGAACAAACAAAGAAAATAGCATTATATGCCGATTAGTACATGTAGTCACTTGCATTTTTTTTTTTGTTAAATTATGATATAGACAGGGTTGGGTAGTGCTAAGTTAAAAAGATAAAAGTTAAGTTAAAAAGTTAAAAAGTTAATTAATTTTAACTTAACTTAGTTACATTTTAGACTTTTAACTTTTTTATTTAATTTAGTTACATTTTATCAGTAACTATTAACTTTTAATTTGATTTTTTTTTAAGTCAATTCTCAGACACAATGCGAAAGGATAATTTAGTATTTTATATAATCGTTATTTATGAACAAAAATAACCAAATTCTTTAATAAATATGATGTGACAAAGGAAAAATACGAAAAATTATGTAAAATGGTCAAATTTTTTCTTTTTCTTCTTTTTTTTGGTTGTTTGTTCGAACCAAATTTAACTTTTAACTTTTCAATTACTTTTTTTTGTTAACTAAACTTTTAATTCAATTAATTTCATTATGGATTAACTTGTATTTTAATTAAGTTAAATTTTCAAAGCTATTAACTTTAACTTAACTTAGTTAAAAAAAAAGTTAACTTACCCAACCCTGGATATAGATATGGTATAGATGTTTTAAAAGTTAGACACAAGAGAGGCACAAAGACGATTAATTAACGGATGTTAATTAGGACTGAATCATCACGAAGAAATAATTACGTGATACAAAAACATGAAAAATCGAGTTATTCTCTTTTATTGAAGATCAAGTTTTGATTTGCGTTTTAGGAATTTATATCTCCGTGGTGAATTTAAACGATCGAAATTACTGGGCGATAATCGCGTTTTACACGTGGTCAGTCAATTTCATTACTTCGACATTGATATAAACGATGCGTGGTTCGTCACTGTTGTTGCAATTTTTCCGACGAATAACGCAAACATTTTCGCAGTTATAACCCAGTAATCTTTTCGCGCTTTTTACGGACTGCCTGGTCCAATTTTTTCCATGTTACGATACCACATGTAAATATATTTCACGTCGCGAGATTTCAGGATTCTAGGGTTATATGAGATATGCACAACAATATGTTAACATTAAACAGGGAGACAAACATACAGGAAGACAGACATCGGATTAAAGATGATGAAGGATATCTATATTTGGGACTGGAGTGCAATGCTATCTTTTAAAAGGAAAGATAGATCGGTTCTTTTTTAACACTGAATCAAATGTGAAATCCGTTGGAAAATGTAATTAAGGTTCTTAAGTGATCTCAAATTTACAATTTTCAAAATGGGACGCGTTAAATATATTTTCGGGTTAATTAGAAAATTCAATTTTCCATTATTTTGTTCTGATGAAAATTACATTTAACTACTACCGTTTTACTTTCGTAGTATTAAATTAAATCACGTTTTCAGCGACACATTTATCCTCACTAGGCTTTTCTCTGGAGCGCGATCGATAAACTACTTAAGAATTTCATTTAAAGCATCACGCACTAGTTGCACACACGCGAGCTTTTAGCTTACAATGACATCCATGACGTAGACAAGACATTTTTATTATCGTTTCGAGCACGTGCGTCATTATCGTGTACATAATCGAGATGAAACAGATGTACAGAATATCTCTACACTTTATAAACAACTCAGTGTCATTGTTTTATTCCTCCTTTTTTTCCTTTTGTAAATAAAACTCGATTGGCTATTTTTATCGATTTATTGGTTAAAATACGCAATCGCGAAGGATGATTTACTTAAGAGAGTTCGTGACTACTTGTCTTTATTCTGCACGTTGTTTATGTATGGCCAGCGAGATAAATGTTCGCGAATATATCGACGACTTATCCGAATTTCAAATCGTGAGTTTTCTAGTATTTTCGATCGATCGAAGATAAAAGGCACCGCTTGAGTACGAATCGCATCAGCGAATTGCGAATTTAAATTTTGCGGCAGAAATGCTCTTGCCAATTGTGAGCATAATCGTCACTGGTACGATTAAATTTTGTTGAAATAATGAAATCTCTCAGTCATATTATTCACATTTAACGAATCAATGAATTTTATTTTATTCATTTATTCATGGATATTTAGGACATTAATAGGTAGAGTAATTATCAAAGGATTATGAAATATAAAGTGTTTTTTTTTATTTGGGAATTTCAGGGAAAAAGAGGAATTACATTGAAAGGAAATATTTCGTCAGATTTGCTCGTTGGAGCATTGCGGTGGCTTTTAGAAAAATTAGCAATTCGATTCGTCGTAGAAAACGACGGTAACACTGAAACGTAAAACACGCAATTAGGTCACGACGAGATACACGCTTGTTATGAGTCGCATCGGAAGATCTTCCGCTTCATCTTGAAATTTCAACGAAAATGTCATTTCTAATTTCAGTTTTATCCTCTTTGTTTTCGTTCCACGGTAGATCCTCGGATACGTCGCATGATACACAGAGTTAGATTTCGCGACGAAGATATTTTAGAACGTTGTCGTCGTCGTCGTCGTCTCGCGAGATGGAAATAAAGTTAAAGAAGAAGCGATGGCTGTTTTGTAATCGAGAAAACGTAGCTGTTTCCGCTAGATGACAAACTAATTAAGCTTTAGATAACTTTCAGTTATAATTTCCTGCTGCGTTCACTAATATATTCATAAAAGAAGTTGAGAGAGAACCGACAGTCCCCTTTGCAGATTTTTTTTAGAAACGTGGTTATATAAATAAAATTCAAAGTAAAGATACCGCTCATGGTCGTCGAATATGTATTATTGAGCGTATTAGCATAATCGAGTGCACGTGCCATCCGATTGATCGGTATGTCGAATATCGATTTATATTTTACAGCTCGCCTCGACACTTAAATCGGCACATCTCACATGATACGATTTACTGCGTTCACCAGTAATACTTCACCCGAGTTTCTACACGACAATTCCATTTACCTCTACAAAATACCTCTACACTCTAAAAAATATCGGTGCGGATTTAATATCATGCGGTGTCTATACAAGTTTTGAGTGTATTAATATTAACATCAACATGATATGGATTTAACACCATGGATTTTAAATCAATATCATGATGTTGACATAAACATCAGAGGTTATAAATCCACATCATGTGTTAATGTTAACACTAACGCAATGATGAGAATTATATAGACACCGCATAATATTAAATCCACATTGATACATTTTAGAGTGTTATACGCGGTAGCGATAATTAGCTTTCGCTTCTAGCATTTTGCATTGTACCACATCTGAATACGTAAATTTTAGACGGTATAATTCACTATCTTTAAGTGCTTATAATTCAAAAATTGTTATAGCTTCGATATATTTTGGTACTAGAATTTTCATCTTAAAATTATCTCAGGAATCTCCTCTTAGGCATTGTTACGATCTTTACGGGACCTGCATAAACTATAAATATAAAATATTTTGTATATTGTGCAGGAAATAGTTTTTAAAAATGTTCACATATCCGCGTACCACGTCGGAGAACCTTTACGATTATAATTTATATTCTGTCGTTCAATGGGCTTTCATGTATCTCGCGTAGGTATCGCTAACAGCGCACACGTCGGACACATCGCGGTAATTAATTCCAGCTCTGTTTCACTCTGCCGGTGCAAACGCGGAACACAGAATTGCAAAGTGCATCAAAGGGGCCTTGCGTTAAAATTCTAAAATAGCCGCGCGCACCAAGAGATGGCCTCGAGCTAGTTGGGTGAATTAATTAAATTCATCCAGCCGCATAATCGCCATGGAGATTGAAAGAGCTTGAGCTCATGCCGCGCTATCCGGAAGCGGAGATCGCGTTTTTCAGTTACATCTCGACGACGTTATAGATGAAGAGAACGACGACGATGACGACGACATCAATAACGATGGCGACAACAACGAGAGAGATACGTTTTGTCGGATCGAATAATTATTTCCGACAAATATATATGTATGGACACGGTCCAGGCAATGTACATATATGTATGTGTGTACACGGTGTACTTATACATATGTATAATATATATATACGCGGAGACAATGGCGGAATGGTGTTAATGGGCAATCGGCTACCTACCAGCTCGGAAACCAATGGTATCGACTTCCGGCGCGGTCGAATGTCCGGCATGCTGTCGATAGTGCTGTAGAAGGGATTGTCGCCTGGATGTCTGAAACAGAAAAGATTTCGGAAGCTGTATCAGCACGAGTCTGCTTGATTGCGTCCAGCTTTTGCTCGAACATCTTGTGCTAATCTTGAATTTTATGTATTTTTATAATTATTATTAATGTTTATCATTGTGTTATTAGTGTTTATTATGACTGTGTTTTGCAACTATAATTTCTTGACTTGAATACTATCAATACTTAAAAAAATAGCTTCAGAGACACAAATTAAAGATTCTAATGTTTGAACGGTATAAACATAAAAAAAAAAATTAACACGTCGACAAAGCTTTTGCAGGTAGAATTTAAGATCGATTTCGTGTGGATTGAAAACTAAACTTTCGAATCAAACTGCAGGCTTAAGATAGCTACAGTTCTAGTCGAGATCCCTTTAGAATGTTTGAAAATCTACTGGCAACGCGATGGAAATTTCGTACTCGTTAGAAAGTTTTTAGAAAATCCAAGTTTCCGCAAGTATAAATCTGTTCCTCGCCGCATCATAGTAAGAATAAAATTATAATTGGAATTTTTCATCAACGCTTTTTGATTCCTGCACTGTAAAAAATAAAATTAATTTTAACTTAAAGACATTTAGTGGACTTTCTGAGACATGCAAAAATATTAAAATTAAGACAAAAATGTTAATTTTAACATTTTTGCATGTCTTAGAAAGTCCACTAAATGTCTGTAAGTTAAAATTAACATTTTATTTTTTACGGTGTGAGTTATTCATAAGTTTAAAAACATTGCAATAAAACGCAAACTAGAATAAATCATAAAATTATTTAACGATAACATCAACGATAAATTTTCTAATATTAAACTTCATTTTTTACACAAACTTATTAAAATGACACGACCAGTATTCGTTCTATCGAACGGATATAATAACTTACAGAATATAGATAAACATCGCGATATTATAAAGATCTTTAAGGAAATGATACGATAAAATATGGCGAGCATCTGGGTTTTCCCGAGATGTAAGAGCCACTTTCGTGGTTCAATTTTTTTTGTATGTCGAGTAATAATATACCATGAAATATATTTCAATTCATGCGATTCAAAACGGAAATTTATTGGAAATATTGATGTGTATAACCGTGAGTTGAAAGAAATTTTATTACCGATTTCATCTCATCTGATGTAAAAATAATTGAAGGGTCTTGAATCATCTCTTAGAAAAGTCGATATAGATATTTCTCCAGTTTTTTATTGCATATAAAATTTATTTTTTTATCCTTCATGTTAGATTCAATAAAAAATGAAGCATAGGAGAAGAAAGTACATACATTGAGAGCAAACTGTACTGAATTTTAATAAATATTTATTTGAATATTGTCAGTTAAATATTCACTGAATATAAACATATATTTATTTGGTACAAGAACCATTAATTGGATTTAACTATTATTATTTTTTATTCAGCAAATATTTATTTTCCGTAAAACAAATATCATATTAGTACTACAAAACAATTATTTGTTTTAAAATTTTTTAATTTAATACATTTTTCTCTCAACGTATACACATTTATTGTTTTCATATATTTGATATTTTTGTAATGCTGCTATATACGTTGAAATATCTATGACGACCACAATTTTAAAAATGATAAAGAACTAAGAAAGAACATGGGCAATAGGAGTCAAGCGCGAAAGACATTGCGCAAATAATACGACTATAAAGCGTAAAACTTCTTTATTTTACTAAACGCGCTTACATGTTTCGACTCATTTTTGAGTCTTCTTCAGAGACAACATAAACTCACATATATAAAATATAACAAATATTAACTTGTCATGGTGAGCTCTCCCGTATCGAGAATATATGTAAATGCCAGAATTAAAAATGATACTTCAGAAATTTTAGAAATGATATTTTAGAGATGGATGTAAAATCTGGATATAAAATCTCCACGTTTCAAATTGAAATTGATGCGATATGAGTGTAATTATAGGATTAAAGGCTTAATTAGGAAATAATACTCACCCGTTCGCTCGTCCACCGGATTCGCCGCCCGGCCCGCTGCCGTTCTAACAAACAAAAAAACAAGTTTATTAAAAACAAGCTCGGTAACAGTTCAAAAAACGAAATGGAGGGCGCACAATGCCGATCGCGCGAACGCAATGTGTGGCGCAGGGTCCGTTTTCTCTCATTTTCGCATAATTAGTGGATAAGGAAAAAACGCGCGACCACGGAATGGCGCGAGGAAGACAACACGAGCAAGAACAACGATAAAACGAGCGATGATCGATCTTAGAAATTCTCATTTTCTGCGCTGTAAGCGACAAATAACCGTTCGGCTGCCGTTGGATATTACAAAACTGCGAGATGAAGTTCTCGCTTTGATTTCCGTGGCCGCGCGCGCACGCAATGCTCTGCCTTTAAATCGTTCTGTCGCAATAGACCTAAGGAAGAAATTACGAACGGAACAGAATAAGATGGGCGCAGAGGAAATCGCCGGGTGACACGAGGAAACATCGTCAAATAATTGCCTTCCTGCGTCAGCTGGAGGGAAGCTGCCGCAGAGAAGAAAAAAGGGAGAAGGCTATCATTCGCACATGATTTTGAAAGAGCGATTTCTCCGTCGCGGGGAGAACTTCGAATCGACTTCTTCATCTTCTCTCTTTTCTTCCGACCACTTGATTTACATTCAGAACTTCCTTCGCCCGCATCCGACTGCGATTGCTTCGTCTGCATTTCGCACTCACAGCCACATTTTCCTCTTCGCCCGTCTATTGTTCCTCGCATCGCAGTTCTCCCAAACTCTGCTGACTACATCGATGTAAATGTATTCTCTGTTTTCTATCTCTCTTTCTCTTTCTCTCTTTCTCGCAATCCAACTGTGGGAACTACCACTTTCCGTTTAATCCCTTTCTCGTTCGTCGGACAGGTCGAACCTATTCTCGTCTCGCTTGTCGCCGTTAATCAACCTTCGGCCCATCGCCGGCGACCTCGAAGAAGCACCGGCATTTTGTCATCTGTCAGCTGGCTGGATTCATGGCTCGATCGTTCGTAAGTTCCACGGTGGACTCGCGATAAATTCTGTTGGTCCAGGTTTTCGTGCCACCACTAGCCCCGAGGTCCTGACCCCTCTTCCATACTGGTCTTTTTCGAATCAAGCTTCTCTCGGTCGTCTCTATACTTCCCATCATAGTAACAATTTCTCTTAATAAAGATTCGGCTCCGGACGCCGAAATCTCGAGGACTAATGGATACCTCCCGCCGAAGAGAAAGGGATATATACGTGTATTAACTGACATGTTGGATGCTTCGCTTTCTCGAGAATATCTGTCTTTTTTTCTTTCTTTCTCCCTTTTTTTTTACTCTCCTGCGCTTTTCGTGTACTTACTCACGTTCGCTCGGCCGCGCGATGAAATGGAAGTTTCGGAGATAGAGTGTGTAACAGCCCGTATAAATATAATATCACGTATAAATACAATACCTCGTAAATTCTGTCACGATATAGAGATATAATATAAACTTATCGATAGCATAACAAGTGTAATAAGTATTTAGAGTTAGAGCCGCAGGTATTTCGTCCCTTAACGCTGTCTCTTTTTCCCACACTCTCTCTCACGTCTTCCGCACTCAATTTTACTTCATCATTTACTCAAATTACAATTTTTCGTCACTCTCGTACTTCTCGCTCTTTCACTCTCTTTCTCCCACTCTATCGCTCGTCCTCGTTCTCTCTTTCTTTTAAACAGTTCCGCGGAAAGGGGTTCCTTTTTTTTTTTCTGATCGCTTAAAAAGCTTAGATAACATTGGAGCATGGTATTCGTTTCATTTTTACGTTTAATCACGAAATGATGGCCTTTGAGAACGTCTCGTCGGAATGTGTAAATGAAGCATGAAGCTTCTCATTATCGCAGTACGCTTATATATGACCTTGTATTCGTAATAAAACGTAAAACGTAATAAGTCGAATGAGAACGCTTTAATCAACAATAAAGATTGCATCTAATTGAAAAAGAAATAATTCAAAAAAATGGTGTGACACAAGCTTTATACGATAGTACGCTATAAAAATAAAAGAATAATTATGTAACCGTAAAATTTCAAATACAGGTCGCGCAAATAATCTTTATCATCTCACAAAGCGGAACCGGTTTCATCAATGGCTCGAAAATTCATACTACACATTTGTGGTGTAAAGTGACATTTTCTGCCGGCGGAACGATACGCAGATTAATTATTCGTAATATGTATGAATTTCACTGCGCAACAGCTAATTAGAGCTGGTCAACTCGGTGTTTTTCGCCTTATAGCAAAATTAGATTAAGATGCGACATTTCCGATGTTTTCTAGCATAATTTTTATCAACATGCGGGAATTCACGCAGTATCGGAATTAATTTATTCCCGATAAACCGAATGGTCGATAAATAATAAAAGATAAAAATATAAACACTCGGAGACGCGCTCAGAGGCAAGGAAACATACATACAACTCAATAGTAAATATATATCTATACAGAATATAGTATCGCTTCGCGAATATAATTCTGGCAAGCGTTTACACACAATTAACACAACGAAAACCTAACTGCACTGAGAAAAACATTTTTTTGTATGTTGCTATAATTATGATTATTATTGTAGTGTTAGTAATAATAAATGTATAGGTATATAAAAACATATAGTTAGCAATTGAAAATGATTATAATTATAATTAAATTATAATAACTGGAACCATATTTATGGTGATAATAACTTATAATTTAATATTTATAATTATATTTTCAGTTGCTAATTATATGTATATGTTATAGAACTCTACATGTAATTATTATTACTAACATTATCGTAGTAATAATCCTAATTATAGTAGTTACAAATATCAAAAGTTTATCTCTCAGCGCGCGTATTTAAATGCGTCTGTATGTGTTATCTGTATCAGTGTTACTCATTACACTCTAACAAGTTTTTCCATTATCTATTAGGCCTTAACAATGTATTTTGCTTTAATTCGCTTAGACACTAGTCGTCAATTGACGGTGCTATTCGCTAAGTTGAGAAGCCTTAAGAAACCTTTGCTGTACTACATCGATCGACGAGGGGTGAGTGCGAGCGCGCTCGCCCCGCTTGTTAATGATATGACACTTAATGAAACGATATCGGTGATATGCAGGTGCGATTTAAGGTGCCCACTCGTCAAGACTTTGTAACACGCGAAGAGATATCAGAGAATGTAATTACGTTCGAATGATTCTTTCAGTGGACTGCACGACGTCAAGTATCTCGACTACCGGCTGAAAGTCAGATCACACTATTTTACGAACAAACTATTCCTTGGCATCGAATCGGATCGGGGTCGCGGAAAAATTTATGCGAAACTTCGCCGTCATCTTGTCTCGACGAGAAGACATACTCACGATAAAGCTCTCTGCTCTGTGCCCTGTGTTCTGGATTTTACCCGCGGCCAACGTGTATACTTTAAAAAAAAGTATGTATAAAAAAGAAACTTTTCTTTTACCAATTTGTGTAAATTATTCTTACCAATAGGCCGATTAGCTGGAAATGATTGTCAAATACTGTCAGTCCTAATATTGCAATAATTTTTCTTTCGTTTCCACTTATCATCCACTTGTAGCGCCATCAATTAATTAGGAGCTCGTTGCACGAGATACTCTAGGAAAGATTTATATCTAATGCGTGATATGTAATATGTGACATGTGCGATTTATGAGATACGTATATTTGTGAAAATCACTTCGGCATAATACACGTATCGTACGTGATGATTTATGATGATAAAACTTCAGAATTTCGGCGTGCTTTGTAATTATTGAACTCAATGGGAAGAAAATATATCGCGTGAGAAACACGATTAATTTCTTTTGCTTCAACAAGTAAAAGTTTCGGCAATAACTGACGTGGCTTATTTACGAATTCAAGGGTAACGTCACGACGAGCTATTAGCGAACAAAAATATTTATATGCATGTAAAACTTTTATGCAACTTTCAAAGAGAGAAAACATCGCGATTGGAAGTTGATTGTACAGTCGCCATGTATAAAAGTTACAAGTCGTTGAAACAGATTTCCCGCGAGTCCATATTCGGGAAAGGAATAGATCCGATTGTCACATACCTACGTACGGAAGTGCACGCATGATTAATGAGAATGGAAATGGAACGAGATATGGAAAAGCTAATACAAGAAGAAGGTTAGTCCAGGAAACATCCACATACCATTTACGTATGCATGTGATATGTACGTGCTTTTGCATAAAAGCTAATTCCGCACTATGTCCAGGTATTATCATCAATCTGCTGAGTACGCGGATAAATATAAGCGTAAAAAAAATATTGAAAGCTGTAAACTTACAAGAGCTAAAACAATGAAACTTTACGAAGACCGACGAAATTCCGAATTCATTACGATATGTATGAGAACAGCCATGATTTATATATGAATATGTATGCGTTATCATGAATAATTATAATTATGTCGATGTCATTAAAGTGTACAAGGTAATTAATATACAATAATTACGAACACACAACTGATTTTATATAATGGAAAATAGCTTTAATAGAGACTAGATTTCTCTGAAAAAGCTCCGAATTTCAAGAACAATCGATAGCACTCGATCAATCGAATTAATCAATTCCTCCTGTGAGGCGATACATGAGTAAATTCCCGCAAATGTTGCGACGGTTAATCTAAAACTGGCAATGGCCGCAGGTAACCAGAGACATTAGCCTGATGTGTCTATGTAACGTATGTGTGTAACTTTGTGGTAACATGGACACCGTGTACATGTAGGTATAATGCATATGCGATTTCTGCGAATGATATGTCGAGCTGTATGTGTGACGATAGTAGCATGGTGTGCGCCTAACTGTACTAGCGGCCAAGTTGTAGACCTGGGCTGCGTGGCAACCTAATCCCACGTTCGCCTAATCATCCCACAGCTCACCGCGATTTATCTTAAACTTCCGCTTCCGCACGTGGATACGTATACGTATAATACCCGATTCGCCCGTCGTAAATTATCGTTATAGTCCGTATCCGTTGCGTCGCAAGC